TATACAAGTTTTGTCTAGATTTAATAGATAGATTCTAGAAAAACTTTCAAAATGCTTAATGCCTTTTCCGCCCAGGTTAAAATTTCAAGAAATTCAACTTATATCAAATTAGTTTCAATAATTACAATAAAATTATTCAGAACTACATTCAAGCTTTTGTTCTGTCTTGCCTCCTTGTAGAAAAGTTTATCATTCAAAGCCCTGAATAAAACTTATATTTAAATCTCAAAGTTGATGTAACCAGGGGTCGGATTGAGCTTCATGTTTTATTACTTCTGCCATCACAAAACCATAAGCCAATATTGCATCCTGAATGTAACCAATATTTTTTATTCTAGAGTATTTTTCTTTGTCGAATTAAATATATTTGTTCATTTTATTTTGACGATTCTTTCAAAAAGCGTAAAATCATTCATTGACAATGACTGAAAACCAATATATTATTTGAAACAAAAGTTCTTTTGTACAGAAATGACCTGATTAAATGTGATAAATAATGTGATTTAAATAATTTTATATGTAAAAATTAGTCTTTATTTTTTCAAAGAATATCGATTTCGGCGTGCTGCCCGCTCCCCCTCTTCAGCTATTATGAATGCACCAGTTTCATGAAACACTCAGGTAGCATCACGACATCGATATTGCTTTACAAAATAGAGACTATTTTTTATGAAACTGTGTCTGCGGAATAGAGTGAGTCAAGATAAAAACTAAATTTTAATAATAGCCTATAGAATAGAATAACAATATCTTATCACGATAAGATAATATTGTTTTTATATATGTAAAGTCTTCAAATGTTAAAACTTAATTACTAATCAAATTCTTTGCTCATGCATTATAAAAACAAATGATTGCCATGAACACATTGAGGGCACTCTCAACACGACACACACGAATGGGACACTTACGCAGAAAACAAACACTTTGAGCCCTGAAGATGATCTCAATAAAGATCGAAACGTTGGCACGATAAAGAAAATGTTATTCTGAAACCTACATCACACCAAACCGCATCCTACAATTTCCGAATCTCGAACGGTCATCGACTGACGGTCAGTAATTACCACACATAAAAACAAATGTTTAACATTTTCTCTTCAGACCTCTTCTAGTGATGTCCAAAAACATCGAAAGAGTCCTTTTAAAATACCTTTTCAAGGATTTAACAATATCATTCCTATCATTATGTTAAATAGTTATTCAGATATCGTGAGATGCGGTCGGGTGTGATGTAGGTTTCAGGAAAACATTTTCTTTGATGATCTCAATAAAGATCGAAACGTTGGCACGATAAAGAAAATGTTATTCTGAAACCTACATCACACCCGACCGCATCTCACGATATCTGAATAACTATCGATTAACGGTCACTAATCTCTACACATTATGTTAAATTTTGAGTAGTTGACCGTTTTGATTTAAAATTTTTAGAAGGGTGGAATGAGATCTGTCAGGTAGATGTTAAAAAGTAAAGAAAAATTTTGTTTTATGTATGCCGAAGTTTCGACAAATTTCTTGACATCCTCAAGGCGGGCTAAGGGATAGATTCAGTTCAAAACAATATCCGTACAAGTTTTCTGTAAGTGTCTTCCATAACTATTATTATCAGCTGTAGATTAATATTGTTATACGTACTTTGAAAAACATGTTTCAACGTTCAAATATATCTTTGTAATTTTAACTAAAAATCTTAACGAATAGTAAATGTTAATGCACTAATTTTAAAAGTTCTGTGCAATTCGAATAGGATCTGAATGTTGTCATTCTGTCCTTACTGCAATCAATAAATTTGACAAAACGTTGGCATACTTATTACGTAGTTTTTCTTTTTTTCCACATCTACCTGACCGATCATCCCAACCTTCAAGAAAGTTTTATATCCTTCCCACTCACCAATTCGTCTTCTATCCTTGCGTGCCCACAAATCAACAATGTTTAAGAGTTTTAGATGCGTTATCGTTGGCATTAGAGAAGATAGAGTACTGTTTGGAAGCGTTTTTAGATATCACCCAAGCGTTTGACATAATCTGGCATCCGGAAATTGAACAAACTAAAGCAATATCTACACAATCATTTTCATCATTAAAACCTTTCTAAATGATAGCTGCTTCGGAGTGCGGCAACGATTTTACGGATATAAAACCGTTCTGAGCCGGCATAGTATCCCTGGTCCCATCCTGTGCAAGTTATACTGTCGACTTGCCAATGCAATATTACACACGCTACTTAAAACCGTGCCTAAACAACAGCCAGAGGTTGATCCACGCACTAGATGGAAGCGAGGAGAACTGAATAAAAGAATAGGGCAATTAAGAAGACGGCTAGAATCAAAATCAGACACAAATATAAAAAACAAACTAACACTTTAAAAAACAGTTCCCCCAATTTGGACCTACTGATCAGATCTGTGGGGTACCACGAAGCCGTCCGATATCCAACCATCCAAGCATTACATTCAAATGTCCTCATGCAAATTATTCGTGTTCCCAACTACTTCTCAAACCTTATCAACTACAATGTCCTCAACATTTCATTCGTTCCAGACTTGATTTCCGTCCTGAAATTCCCTTCTAGGCTATTGTCTCACCCTAATCCTTCTATTTAAGCCCTTACTAAAATCCTTCACGTCACTATTCGCGTGGTTGGCCCAGAGAATTACACATCTCCAAATCCCTCAATATATGTGCTGGGAGCATTGTTGACCGTAGTCCCAGTAATATGACTTGGTGAAAATAAGAAGTCCAAATTTATATGGGTGTACGAAAAGGGATAAAAATAAATTTTTTAAGGCTACTATTTTTTCTAGGTAGTACTAAACAATTTGCGATCGAAAACTTCATAAATAAAAACAACGCAAAAATAATTCTACTCATACTTAACTTAAATTAACGATATAGACAGACAAAGCACATAAATCGTGCATGCTTAGTAGAACGTCGCGCGTGTTTTACATTTTGTGTAGTTTTTATTATAACGCCATTATTTTTTAAAATTATGTGCGGATAAGTCAAAATAAATAGCAAATTATTACATATAGTCAATTATAAAGGGGGGGGGGGTCCCGAAGATGGACAAGATGTACGCGGTACGGCTTAGAATAGTCCGGAGTGCATCTCGAATTTTATTTTTTGAAAAACCTAAAACCCTTCCAACATTTCGGAGAGAGAAATTCTCGGATTTTCGCGAACATACAGTAAAATATTCTGTTCCTCGTCGAAATTACGCTGCCGGTTTCTTGTTGATGGAATGCAACTGATCATCTTCTCTCTCTCTCTCTCTCTCTCTCTCTCTCTATATNTATATATATATACAAACATTCCGGGAGTACACATTGACTGCACGACGCGCGATACCACCACTATCATTAAAGTAGCACATATCAACTCGCTGGACGTCGGAAAAATGTGCTCTTCGGTTCATTTTGAATGGAATACTGAACGTAACGAATAGGTTCAATTGTAAAATTAATTTATTTCCGGGAATTAATATTTCCTCTCAGAAAGTAAACCTTAAAGCAATAAATGTTTACTTTGTGTGGTGATTAGTGACCGTTAATAGATAATTATTCAGAAATTGTGAGATGCGGTCTAGTGTGATGTATGTTTCAGAAAAACATTTTCTTTATCGTGCCAACGTTTCGATCTTTATTGAGATCATCTTCAGGGCATGGGATTTACAAACATTGTATACATTTAACAAATACATTTAGGATGTGGAGTGAGTAGAAATACTTTGATTGAATATAAAAAATATATTTTGCATTGTATACATTCACTTTTCCACATCCTAAATGTATGTGTTAAATGTAAACAATGTTTGTAAATCCCAGGCCCTGAAGATGATCTCAATAAAGATCGAAACGTTGGCACCATAAAGAAAATGTTTTTCTCAAACCTACATTACACCAGACCGCATCTCACGATTTCTGAATAATTAATGTTTACTTTATTGATGAAACCAATTTTTGGAATTAACAACGGAATAAACTAAATGCGTTTTTTCAAACTGTTTGCTATAACTATATTATTTTTTGACCAATTTAAAATCCGACAGCACCATAGTTTTCAGCATAAAAAATCGTTTAAAATGATGTGTCAGGATGTAAGGGTGTATTTGAACTTTTGAATTTGAACTGGTCCTGAATCACCCTGCATAATTTTGTTTACAAAAAAAGGAAATAATTTTGGAACTAGGCTTAAAAATATTAAACACATAATGCTTGGGTTTAGATAGCGTCATTGGTTCCAGAGAAATTCAACCGGGCCATCTAAAAAGGACACCCTGAATAGGCAAAATATAAAGAAATATTTGTTGTACATAAATAATACATTATGTGAAGATATAAACGAAAAAATATTAAACAAATAATATTAAATATTAATAAAATGTAAAATTCTACAAATTTAACAGACGTAACTGACAGCTTTACAACTAGAAGCAAGCGTTATCAAATTTAATTGACAAATAGAAGACGGCTTATGATGTGGTCTGTTAAGATTTGTTAACAAGTTAGTCATTTTATGACCAGTTTGAAATCCTATTGCCATATACAAAGGTTTTCAGGGTACTAAATCCTTTAAAATGATGTGTCAGGATGTATAGAGCCGTTTCTGAAATGGGCCCGAAGTACCCTGTATACTTTTCTAAAAAAATAATTAATTAATTAATTTAAAAAATTAGAAAATGGGCAAAAAATATTAAACACCTTCTTTTGAAAGCGTCATTGGCTAAAGATATATTTAGTCAGGCCATGTAAAAAGTTGGCTGTATATACATATGTATACATGTAAAAGTTGGCCCTGCATATACGTATGTATATACCATGTGGATTTACAATAGTTTTTAATTATTTGTTATCATGAATATGAAATCCATTATATTATTACGATGGTTATAATAAATAAATATAAAGTATGAATAAAATTATACGGCCATTACAGGTGGTATCGATACATACTGCGGAAGTTTTAAAATATTATAATGTTCCGTGTTTGCAGGTGGTGGTGATGACTGTGCTGGGATGAGGCAATGCGGGAGCCGAGGCAGTTATGTAGGGACCCAACCGAACGTGCTCAAGGAGGTCCGCTACCCATTCGGTGTGCAGAACGACCTTGGCCATGTGCAGATTCCGACGCAGAAACCGAAGGTGAGTTGAAATTGATCTAGACTCTGCTGAGGAGCATTTTGTCCCGGCTCAATTGATATAACAGTACGTTGTATCCCGGACAATAATCCCAGGCCGGAACAATTAAATTCCTGGGTTATCAACTCCCAACTTCCCCTTTCTATTTTTCCCTGCGGACGGAACTCGTGGACCTGTATTTGTCCCAACAATAAAAAAAGGGAAAAAAGGCATTCTCATAAAACTAAATGAACTTTCAGTCTCTCCCGTTCCCTTTCTCACTCACACTCTTTTTTTTCTCTCACTCTCTCTTTCTGTGCATTCATCCTTTTTGCGGATATAATGGGACTAATAGCAATTCAGTTTTGTGGTCTGGTTTAATTTTCTTTTCTTGCAATACAGGGGTAGCATTTTAAATAGGTTTAGCTAGTTAAAAAATCTTTTTATCGTTATAACTCCTTAACAGCCTCTTATCACCAGGTGCCGCGACAATTAACAAATTACAAAGTTTTAATTAAATTTGAAAACTTGTTTTCCTAAACTCTGCTTTCCAACATCTATACATCAAGAGCATCTTGATTCTTTTAACTAATGTTTATTTATTTTATTAAATTAAAAATAAAGAACTTGTCTACTTGGTTAAAAATTGCTTTTAATTTTTTGGACTCGCATATTCGATCCATATTTAATATTTGTTATGAAAATCTCCATTCAGTATTTAATTTATTGAAATTAAATGGGAAATAACAAGGTAAATTTACGGAAGGAATGAAATAATTAAATACTAGTAATAATCGTTCAATCGTTTTTTGAAATAATTATTTTTATTTACTTATTTTAAATATAAGTATTTATATTTACGTAAACAATATTTTACGTAGTAAGAATAGGAATGGTGAAATCTCCATTCAATATTTAAAATAATATTTTGAAATTAAATGGACAATAACAAGGTCAATTTATATACGGAATGAAATATTTAAATACTAGTAACATTTTTTAAAATTAATTAGTGTTTATGTAAGGTATTGGCGAGATAAAACAGTCATTCCTATGTCAACCCCACCTTTCGAATTTTCCCTCATTTGTGCCATTTTTCAGATCGAAAGGTGGGGTTGAGAAGGTTAGTGTGCGAGTGGATCGAAGTCACGATAGCTCAAGTGGTAGAGCAGCGGCGCATTTAGCCGTGGGTCGTGGGCTCGAATCCCGCTCGTGACACTGACTTTTTTTATCTCAACCAATATCTTACATAAAAAAAGTTATTCGGTCAATCGGTCCACGAACTTTAATGAACTAATAATAATCCTTCAATCTTTTTTTGAAGTAAACCGGATTTATATTTAGGTAAACATTATTTTACGTAGTAATGATAATTTCAGAAAGAGTAGAAATGTTTGCGGTGTGGAGGATTGGTCTTGACATACTTCCGTGAGGTACCCCTGCATCTGTGCGTTATCCTGTTGAACAACAATGGCTTAAAAATGTCTGTCAGTTATGTAAGATTTCAGGTTCAGCGTGCAGATAAAACAGAGGATTATCGTAAGCTGCTAGAGCAGTCTCAAGTACAGTACCTTATCCGTAGGCTAATACGCTGGATGAGCACTTTTTTCGCTCAAGCGATAGCGTTATAACTGTTAAGGATTTTAGTCCAAATGCGGTAACCAGGAGTTCCTTTTTACCAATTGAGGTGATTTGCTAGTACTCGGTTTGCTTCCCTCATGCCTCCCAGTATTGCTTGTGTTCTTTAGTAGCATCGATTCCACCTTCATTGAGGCCTATTGAAATCATATATATTCGGTCGAAATTAGAAGTTACATCCAAAAAGTAATAAATGAAGAGGAAAATATTTAGGCTTTAACTTCGTCCGACGAAGTCCAAGTAGAAGGCGATGGAATACCATCGTCCGAAAACAAACTAGTGGTAAGAAATAATGTTACAAAAATAAAGGAATGGAGATCTGCTTAACCCAGAATTTTTGGTTTGTATTTTGTCTTTTATAGGCAGTAGTTTTATTCTCTTCCCTCGCAGCAAAACTGTGTAAGTCAAAAAGTCCAATTTTTCAGGAATATGATTTTAAAGTATATGTCTATGGCGTAAATTTAATTTCTATAATTACTTTTGTTGTGCTCATATCTCATCATATTCGATGTAACTATCGTAGTAAGTAGGTTTTTAACTTATTTAATTATATCTTATCATCACTTTATCGCCGCTTCTCATACCATATGCACCGATTCACTTATACCTTCCGTTTGGTAAGTGCGTAAAATGGGATGTCATGTTGAAATAAAAACCAGTATATTTTACAGGTGTTATAACTGCACTAATTGACTAATTGTCACCAACGAAACAAATACCAATAGAGGTCTCAAAAAAGGCACATTTTTAGGTATGGGTACCATCTGGCTGAGAGAATTTTTAAAAGGAGCGGAAAGTAAGTGGTTCTAAGAACAGAATTATAAATCTAAGAAAAAAAAATTTCAAATTTTTAGATAGGTTTCGAAGGATTTTTACAGTGATTAGGTCGAAACCCGGAGCTTTTTTTAAAGATAGAAGGATAATGGTATTTTTAGAGATTAAGATACAGGAGATCTTAGGTCTTGCTGTAGGGTTTAATTAATTTTTCTTTTGGAATCGTGGAGATTTTCATTTTATGCATTTTTGTCTATATTCTCTGAGCGGTTCTAATGGTTTTCCTATTAACTTTTCATGTCATTTATAAAGTAAAGAATTTTTTTAAGGAGCATCTGAAGATCTAAAAAGCTAAAAAAGTTTTGTCACATTCCATAGTATAACATTGGTCTTCTGTTGATAAACTTTTTTTTTAATTGGTACTATACGGGAGTATTTCTTGTAAATATACAATTAGAGTTTATAATTCGTTTCAGTTGAAAAGGATTTCCTCTTGAATGTTTTGCGAGTAGTCTTTTTGCTTGTTTCATGGTTTATGATCTTAATGTATTTTGTTCATTAATTATCAAGATTCCAGTTCTTTTTCAATGTGGCTTAGTTTAAGCCACAAAATGGATTTAGGCTTATGTGTTGTTGCAATGTTTTTTTTTTAGTTTATCACTGCATCGTTCGCTAAAATTCCGATATGACCTAGAACTTAATCAGCGATATGTTATTTGTATGTCACATTTTTTATTGTTTTTAAGAAATCCAAATCAAGTTTTGAGTATTTTATATCTGCATGTACATGTTTATACATATTTCATGTGGACTTGTTTCTACGGTAATTCTTCTTCAAAGATGATTGTGGTTGGGATAAAGGCCATGTGTGCTTGATAGTCAAGCCCTTTTATGCTCATACCCGTACCATTGTTTAAATGGTCTAATTGTGCAGAAATGGCTTTCATGATTTTATGAATTTCATATTTATCGCTGGGCAGATGTGTGAATTTTTTCTTCTTTTGTGTTTATCAGGATTTCCTCTTTCTTTCATTGGGTTGTTTGTGAGCATAATCTTTTTCGTACCTCACATGGAGAATGTAGTATTTAGTATTTGTTGTGATCTTCGATAACCCAAGTTCTATTGAAGTCGGGATTGTAAAGATAATAATGAGAGAAAGAAGGTAAATGAGTAGTTTTTTCGTCGGACGTTGCTCAATAGCCAATATTTAAGTGAAAAGGAGAAGGAATGAATTAATACTATAATTTTTCTACTAAATAATTAATTATTTAGGCCAGAATTGTTGTAAAATTTTCAAGAACGTTTTTATGGCCGTAAGCAATAAAAATAGGAGTAATAAAGTTAGAAAAGAATAGAGTTGTGTTTCTATTAAAGCGTAGTTTAATTATTTGGGCCAGAATTGTTGTCAAACATTTTGGCTTGGAAATTTTTCTAATCTTATTTTTAAATAAAACACGTATTCATCATATCAAATGTATCCCAGTTCTTTGTTTTATTACTTTCTTTCTTCTTTTAAATGTAATTTAATGTATTAAAACTTTTCAGGTGAGAAGATGCTTAAGTACAACTCAGGAGAGAAAATATAATAAAGAAAACTGGAAAGAAAATAGGAAAGAATGCAATTTACCTACTTCCCTTTTAGCATTGCCTCTCTGTTTCTAACTTTCCACTCACGTACCTTGTAAAGTTTTCTCCTTCCGGCTCTATTGACTCGGAGCCATTACAGTGACACATCAGGGCCGAATCCGGACTTTATCCAACTTATCAAATTTCGTTCTCGCTATGGACACCTACCTAGGAAAACTCAAGCATCCGGGCTTATATGGATTTATGTCATTTCGGTTAGGCCTTTTCCCTGCCACCAATAATAAAAAGGGATTGTGGAAGATCAAAGACCAACCTTGAAGTGGGCTTTTATATTCAAAAAGTGAATAACCATCTTGTGGTCGCTTAGGCTGAATCCTTATTCGACAATCTATTGTACCTCAGGCTAGTATTATTGCATTTAGATCAGTGGAAATAAACAAATATCAATAAACGCTCAAATTATGTTTTTGGATAATCAGTTATCTTTAATTTCGGGCAAATAAATAGCACTAACTAGAATCAATATACTTTTTATGTATTGAGTTGTATCAGATTAAAAAATGGAACCTATGTCGATTAAAAGCCTATGTTTTCCCTCATCCATTATACCAAATCGCCAATATAAGAGGATATTAAACATTTTGAAATGATCAATGGCATATTCGGTAGTGTATTGTGTTACAATTTACACCATTGATTAATTGATTATAACGTATTAGTTCAATATTCGGTTTTAGTATTCAGGGGATTAATAGTGTCAATAATTCTCGTAACTTGAGATCTGAATTGGGTTTGGGCTGTGTAAAAACAGTCATTTATAATCAGATCGAATCTTTGAATTGGCAGCTTTTAATTCGCAGGACGAAGAAATAAATTTTAATATATTAACATCTAATGCGAAAAATTGAAAATGGTTTTCGATGATGTGCAGTTTTTTATGTTTTTTTTCGTAAAATACCCATGTTTTTATACATTTTTCTCTCCAAATGTCATATGTTAAAAGATTATAAAAATCAGTTGGGGC